TCATACTTAATCATCAATACATTAGAATTATGATCATTCCTTATTCATCACATCTTTTAATAAATATCACCTATAACAGTAAAACAATAACCCCACCTTTGAATAAGACCGAACGTGAATGATCAATCCTAACCTATGAACAATACCAAACTGAAGAATATTGTTTAGGTTAATATAACCGAACCCTTAGTGAAAGATTGAGCGGTCTTTCACTTATCCACAGAACAGAACCGAACGGTCCATACTAGGTAAATTTTTTAGTAAATGGCCGAAGACTAAAACATGATCGAACAATACAATCTTTGACCAAACACTATTGAGCTTGCCAAACACTATTGAGCTTGGTCGAACACTATTGTGCTTGGCCGAACACTACAAGCTTTGGCCGAACACTATGAGACTGATGGAGACCGAACGGTTTCTCACTTCCCAAAGGACAAGACCGAACGTAGTTAAGACCGAACACCAATACTAAACCGAGTACTAGTGCAAGTCTGGGCACTACCAAGACCGAGTGCTAATACAAAACAAGCACTACCGAGACCGAGCACTAGTACGAAACAAGCATTACCGAGAATGAGCGCTAATACAGAAAAAGCACTACCGAGACCGAGTGCTAGTATAAAACAAGCACTACCGAGACCGAGCGCTACTAAGGCTGAACAACCAAATCAGCGCATGACCGAACGGTCAACAGCGAACCCTCAGTTTTCTGCATAATTCTGCAGAATTATGAACACATCAATTTTTACCAAAACTAAACATTTTCCCCAACTTTTAATCCTCCAAACATGAATCAAACACATATCTATACTAAACTAAGAATACCTAAACCTTTCTAACATCATTTAGAGAGTTTCATCTTAGATTTGAGAATCAATTATGCAGAATCATTAACTCAAGGACTGAAAATCAGATTTCCTACTTTTTGTATAGTTTCGAGTAATTCAAAGGCTCTAACCAGTTCTAAATAGAGTTGTCAAAACAGGTAACCCAGCCCGATTCGACCCGACCCACCACGGGTTGGTCACTTAGTGAGCCAACCCAACCCGGCTCATTTATTAGCGAGCCAAAAAAATTAGAACACGACACGACCCACCACGGGTTGGTGGGTTAAACGGGTTGGCTCATTGGCTCACTTAATTAACTTTTTTTTCACGCTCTTCTACTCAGATTCTTATAACATGTTACTTTGATCAATCAAATTGAAAAAGTAATAATTGGACCAACTGATATAAAAGAAAATAAAACAAAAGAAATATATTGTTATATATATTCTAAGCTATCAAGCATAAAATTTTGCCAATTTAGTTTAATGAGACATATACAACCGTTTAACCAAGAAACTACGTATAGCCGTTAACAAAAATATATAGCACAAGATAAAACTGTCATGCTTGTAGATAGATCTAAAAATAAGATAAAACAAATGATATATTTATAAATTATTCATCTATTAAATTAGAGTCCTGAATGGATAAATCCACAATATTATACTCTCTTGAGGCATCTTCTTCTTTATCTCCATCTATAATATTATCCAATCTATAATCTTAGGGTTTTATTTCCAGAGGGAACTTTTGGAAAGACAGCCGCGTGAAAGGCTCTATTGCTAAATAAAGGTTGTGCGTTTTGAATAATTAATTTAATTAATTTGATTTCAAAAAAGAAAATAGGATTTGAATAATTAATTTAATTTAATTAAAAAAAATAGATGGGTTGGTGAGCCAATCTGACCCACCACGGGTTTAACCCATATGAGCCGGGTTCTTAGTGAGCCGGGTCAAAATTGACTCGCATAAAAAAATTTACATTTTTTTCCAACCCAACCCCGCTCAAACCCGTGGTGAGCCAAGTTGGCTAACGGGTTTCAACCCATTTTGACGGCACTAGTTCTAAACAACTTGTCCAATATCTCTTTGCAGACCAAACTACCTCGAACACAAATTCTCCAATTTTTATCATTTTACTGCCTCACAATTCTCTCGACAAAACTCCCAGAATTCTACAGAAATGATAACAACATAACCATAGCATTCAATAGCCCACACAAACATTTCGAACACAAAACATTCAACTTTTACATACATGTAGTATCATCAACCAACAATTTTCATACATCATAAATAAATCAATTAAATCAACTAACTTCCCTTACCTCTTAACTGGACCGCACAACTTCCTTCTTTCCAAACATTTGCTCACCACACCAGAAAACCCTAAGAGTATATATATAACTCGCCGATTGGATAGGAGAGACCAACCAAAAATACCAAGAATGAAGTTAGAAAGGGAAAGAGAAGACTGATGAACACATGCAAACAACAAGGCTTTCTTGCATGTGCCAGAAATTCCAGAAAATCACCAAAATCTAAGAAACGAAACTTACCCACTGAAAACCCAAAATTGATCGGTTAGATAGGAAACTCCTGACGTTTGGATCGTCTAGGAAGCTTCTAATCACCGATTAGACGAATCTCCAGTGAGAAAATCTAGAGAGAAGGGAGAGGAAAAGTAGAGTTTTCTGTTTTAGAGAGATACATAATATGAAAATAATGAGACCATCTTTGTTTAAATTTTATATATATTTATATGCTCATGCAACACTTGGTCTCTTTATTTGGAGACACCTGTCCCCCTCATATATATATATATATATATATATATATATATATATATATAGGGGTTTGCTAACGCGCGTACGCCTGTTTTTTTCAGTTGGTACATTTTAGCAATGTGTACCGGGTTTTAGTAGACAAAAATACCCTTATATATCATGGATTCTAAGTTTTAAGGTTAAGGGTATTTTAATAATTTTCATTCTCAAAACTAAAAAAAAAAAAGAAACCCCCAAACCCTTACTCACCTCTCTGATTCCTCTCAACCCTTTCTCTTTCATCTCTCTCACTCCAACCTTTTCTATGTCATATAGCCCCAATTGAAAAAATCAGGAACACTTGTCGTTAAACAATTTGCCTTTGTAAAGAGTTGAGTCATTGACATATTCACCTTCGGGCAAAGGTTCATTCAAGATCTCTTCAATTTCACCATCTTCACTAACCTCTCTAATTTCATCATCTACATATGTTGAATCATTATCTCTAAAAAAACCCTCCAGACCAATTACCAATTCCTTCCGATATCATTATGCTTGTGAAAATTAGATAAAATTATATACGACAAAAATTATAAAATGAAAACTCATTACAAAATCATTTTTTGTAAGAAAGTGTTTAACAACGAGTGTTTCTAATTTTTTCCAGGCCAATTAGCAATTCCTTTAATGTCATTATGCTTGTGAAAATTAGATAAAATTATATAAGACAAAAATTATAAAATGAAAACTCATTATAAAATCATTTTTTTGTAAGAAATTGTTTAACAGAGAGTATTTCTGATTTTTTCCAGATCAATTACCAATTATTCCTTTATGCTTGTGAAAATTGGATAAAATTATATAAGACAAAAATTATAAAATGAAAAATCATTATAAAATCATATTTTGTAAGAAATTGTTTAACAGAGAATATTTCTGATTTTTTCGAGGTCAATTACCAATTTTTTTATGCTTGTGAAAATTAGATAAAAATAGACAAGACAAAAATTATAAAATGAAAACTCATTATAAAATCATTTTTTGTAAGATTGTTTAAGTGTTTCTGATTTTTTTCAATTGGAGCTACAGTAGAGATGACAGAGAAAAGATTGGAATGAGAGAGATGAAAGACAAAAGGTTGAAAGGAATGAGAGAAGTGAGGAAGGGTTTCGGGAGTTCTTTTTTATTTTTTTAGTTTTGAAAATGAAAATGATTAAAATACCCTTAACCTTAAAACTTAGAATTCATGATATATAAGGATATTTTTGTCTACTAAAATTCGATATACATTGCTAAAATGTAGTAAGTGAAAAATAGACGCACGTGTTAACAAATCCCTTATTTATATATATCTTAAAATATTTTATGATATTTTAGATAAACAAAGTTGAATACAACTTGTGGCCGCATTGCATAAAGTATTGTTGGGCCAAGTGTGTACAATGTTCATTGGAATCTAACGACAAAAGGTTTTGCCTAATCTTTAGTAAATTAAAATTATTGTAAGTATAATTAAAGCGAATCACGGAAAATTAATGCACTTGGTCTAAAGATCGCACACGAACATATATGTATATATATATACACGCTCAGGGTATATAAGAAATAGGCTAACATTACATTAACTCTTGTTGGGTATTAGACAAACCCAACGAGAGAGATGTGACAGTGTGACAGTGTGTTAGGCATCGATTTCGTATTGAACCGAGGTAATAAGCTTATATATTTCGCTTTCACCTAATCCGAAGTCTATTTTGCAAGGGTAACGACCTTTTTTTACTAGTGATAAACTAATAGACATAAGTTTTAATAGCTTTTAATTACAAAAAAAAAAACATTGAATGTAAGTCTATTTACCGTAAAAGACTTAAAATATTCATATTTTTTTCTTAAATTAATTTTGATTTTGTACGAAACTAAAACCTCTAATACAAAAAATTTCCCAAAAATAATATATATTTTAAGCTGTTCATTTTAAGTACATAGTTCAAAAATCAAAATAAATAATAAGATATATAACTTAAAATTGACAGTATAAAACTTAAAACAAAACCTTATTATCAAAACTTAACGTACACATGGGAGGACATAACTTTTTTATTGACGTGTTATTTCAATCATGACCTCTTTAATATAAGAGATGAATTATCGAACACCTAAAATAAACAATATTATTATTATAGAGTAAAGTATTTCTAACAAAAGAATTCATGACAGTGTTTATCGTTATCCATTCACTACAAAAATAATATATTTTAAGAGGGGTTATTTACCGGTGCTTTTAAAAACCCCGGAGAGTTTCGGCGGTTATGACTAAAACCGCAGTTAGGTTTTTTTTAATTATCACTTATTACCTCCAAATTAGTTTCCTCTCCTGTCTGCACCTTCATTTCCCATCCTTCTCCAAAACCCTAGCTCATCCCTCTCTCCCCGTCTTCATCTTGCGTTCTTCAAACAATGCACCGCACCACATTCTTCAAACAAGGCCTCTTTCGTTCGTATTGGTCTTGGTCTTCCGTTGCATTTATGGGCTGAGCGAGGCTCCAATCGTTTGTCGAAGGTTCTGTGCCTCCAACCGTTCGTCATATCTTATGATATTGTGACACAGTTGTGATTGTAAGACATTCCATTTTCATGATATTTTGCTGCAGTAGAAATACGTGTATATACATAATATTAGAAATTTGCAGTTCCAGAACTATGGTGAGAAATGTGTGGCAGAGGTGTGATCCTAAGATGATCAGTTGGCTAATATGAACACCCACGATGTCGTCAAATTTTCACGTCTTCTCGGCAACGAGATTCGCATTCTCAAGGTACAACTTCTCTTTTCTATTTCTATAACCCTAAGCCTATTGATTAAGCTATTAGTTTGATGTGTTCGTTTTCGTCTTCTTAGCATTAGGGTGTCTGAGTTTAATTGAAATTTTTGCTTTGGTTGAAGGAAGAGTTGAAGAGAACCGATCTGAAATTGGAATCTTATAGATCAAGGATAATTCAAAATTTTCAATGTGTTGAAATTCAATTCAATTGAAATTGAAATTTTAAATTCAATTCATCCCGAGAAAGTTATTTATTTTGGTTTGTTTATATTCTCATCCACATTAATTTTGTATAAATTTATTGCTCCCCTGTCTCACCATTTCGGTATGAATCATAGTTGATGCCGAGAATTTTTTCTCTAGTTTGTATAAACTCTCTAGTTTTTTCTGTAATCACTTTCAAGTTTCTGTTTATTCACTTTTCTTTCTTGAAATACATTGAAGAAGTTAAAGCCATTAGAATTTATATGTATCTACCTATCCATCCATTAGAATTTAGTACAAAATCTTTCTAATAATCTATATATGTTTAGCATCGTCCCTTCATGAAAAGATAATTTAATGACCTTGGTGGGGTTGAGTTTTATATTCTCTTACAAAGACAACATGAAGAAAGAGATGATAGGACTTTTATGGCAAAAAACCCACGTTTTGGAAAGTAAATTCCCTGCTGCAACACTTTTGACCAAAATTGGAAAGTATTCTTCTTCACACAGTTCTTAACAGTCCTTAGATACTTAACTTCCAATTAACTTATTTATTCTTCCTTCCTAGCACTGAAAAGCTTTAAAGAAATATTTTATAGAAAAAAGAAGTCTCAAGATCAATATATGGGAAATTTTAATGATATCTAACAAATCTCTTAATTTCTAGGTGACTTTTGATGATGATAAATCAAAAGCAGTGGATTTCAATATTATCCACCATCTAATCCTGGTTTCCAAGCTATTGAAGAAGAAAATCCTCCACTGTTATTGAAGAGCCACGGTAATTCTGGTTCTTGAATAAGAAATTATCACTTTCTATTTAATATTCTTATTTGTTTGTTTGATCAATTAGATGCTGAAAAGGTGGTCTTCCCTTTGCATTCAACCCTTTTATGTAGCTTAATTTCTACTGATCTACATGATAATTTATAATGGACTGCCTTTAAAAATTATAAGTGTATGCTAATACTGCTTGGGTTGTGAGAGCATTGTAATGACATTGACAATACTCTTGTGAAAGTTGTCGTGTGCATGCAACAGAAACTCCTATAAACATAGAGGTGTTATATACTTGTTTTTCTTCTCTGGTTTATTTATATGTTTGTTTTTATTAATACATGTAATCGTTAACCAGTGTTGCTTTCGAGGAATTGGTTTTGCTTTCCAGGACAAAAAGGGAATTTGTTTCTTTCTTGGAAATGGACTTATTTGTGCTCTCTTCATCTTGTATTTATTGGGTAACAATTAATATTTTACATTTATGTTGAAGTTATTTTTTAATGTATAGACTAAATATTTGTTTTAGTACGTAGATTTTTCTTCAACAATACTCCTAAAAGTGTCATGGTTTCATATTCTTTTTCAACTAAAATTCTTCAAATCTTCGTTCAAAAGGAGAAGTTTATTTATAAGTTTGAAGAGATAGTGTGTTGCCCTTAAGAGTAGAATATATAATTTCTTATATGGAACTTAAATCATAGTGTGTACTGAATTATTATGTAAAAGTACTTGTTGTATGAAGTATTGCTTAATGAATCCTTATTGCTCTTATCATCGTGTAAATCTATAATGCACTGTGTTGCCACAAATTCATGATTTGGATTTTGGATTGCAGAGTAGGCCGGATTGGATTGACTACCCTTTCCTTGTAGAATAGGCTATTTGAAAGTTTCTGCTTATTGGTGTCTTCTATGTTTGACTTATTCTTTATTTGATTTGTTTCACTTTTGTCTCCTTTTTTATTTCTTCTACTTTTAGTGCTAGAAATTTAGCATAGCGGGAATAGTTTTTTGTGAACCCTTGAAAATGCACTAGTTTCACACATGCCGAGATTTTCTTAGATGACAAAGCTGGTACAGCAGAGAATAAAACTTCCAAAACTTCCAAAGAAGAAACACCATCTAAAGATTCTCCAGCAGGACCAAGAGCTGCTTCTAGACCTGCAGTTGGGTTTCCAAACAATCCTTTTGATTTCTCGGGGATGTAAATCAATACCTCTGTTTTTTTTTTCTTATTTGTATCATGTGGTATAATTCTATTTCTTAATATTTCTTAATAAATATGGCTTGTTAATTGTTAATTGTTATTTAGGTGTTCTTTTCAAGACCACTTGTCAGTTCTCACTAACTATTATAGAAGATATTAAACATAGAGTCTTAGTGTTGTATAACATTTCAATCATAGTCTTGTATTTCTGCCCCCGTCATTCTCAATCTTTGCCACTCTGTTTTTAAACTCTTAATATTTGAATTTGCAGTGGTACTGATATTTCTTTGGACCCTCAAGTTTCGTTTGTTCCATCTGTTGAGGTGTTGGTTAAGGCTCTGCTTATGATGTCACCAGCAGCTCTGAAACATGCTCCAGATTCATTTGTCAGAATATTACTTTGCTCACATCATCCATGTGTAGTTGGTAGTGCAAAAAGAGATGTGGTGTGGAAGGTAGCTTTTCTTCATACTTGTGTGTTGTCCTATATAATTTGCACTTAATTATTTAATTTCTAATAAAGACCAACTAGTATAAACTTGGCAGTCTAGAAACCTGGCAACTTGGGCATGTGATCAGTTAATAACCTAATCTATCCGACCTATGCTGCAGTACAATTGAAATGTGTATTGATTATGGTAGGATCTATTTGGAAAATTATGACAGGTTCCATGCCATGTGGACATTGGTCAATTAGTTTATTTTTTGGCAATTGGTCTATCTCTCTTTCAAATTATTGTTAATCCATTATTACTTGAATTTTGATAACCAAATAAAACGGAAAAGTGCATTTATATGTATTATTGTTATAATTATAGAAAAAAGAAGCTGAACCTATATATTATATTAGGAACATTTTTATTTATTTCCATATCATATCGTTTTCATTTGAGAATGTGAAATCTCCTTTATTTATTTTATTGATTCTTGTTTTGTTAATATAAATAAAGCACCTGTGTTTTCTAAAACTCTTTCAACTTATTGTTTATCTTTTTCATAGAGTTTAACATGATATCTAAACCCTCTTTTAAAACTGTGTCGGCTAGATGTTGGGAACATTTTCATCTAAATTATATAATAAAGAAATCTATATTATATATATATATATATATATATAT